CCATCCCTCATACGTGTATTCAACAGATATCGATGTTTGAAAGGAAAAATTTATAAACTATATCTTCCGTGAAAATTATGATTGATGTTGATAGTGAAATGAGATGTAGAAGTAATTATCTTATCTGAGTTGTTTGTCTAATTTATGCATACTACATGAACAGTCATTTTTTTTCACAGACAGTTCATTTTTCGTTCTATTCTCAGTTCATGAGATGTAAACTATACGTCTGACAAACGTTAATCTGATTCTGCTTTTCCTCAACAATCTTTCGCATCAAAATTAAATCGTACACTATTATTTTTCGTACATCGGTTCATTCACTTTTCCTCTGTTTGTATAATTGATCTATTGGTCTGAATGGTGAGTTCGATTTTTATTTTTGATGTCGTTAATTTCATTTCTATGCTAGCTTAGCCACATAATGTTTGAAAGGTGTTTATCTATCTCTGCTTCGGAGTATATGTCTCTACAAAGTTTTTCGTCTCCCAGATTTGTAGTCCTTGGTTAAAAAGAATTTGAAGTTTTTTTCGGGTTTTCTGCCCTATTTCTAAAATTTCAATAAAAACTTCAGCTTTTGATATGAAGAGTTGATTCTGGCGTAGTTCGATAGGGAACTTCAACTTGTATAAGAAGAAAAACTTGACATCGTTCCCGAATGAAGTTTGGCGCAGAAATTTAACTTTCATCTTCCTGAGGAGATTTTAGAGCTAAACGTATTTTGAAAGCTTTACGGCTAGTTTCGCTCTAGGCAAGCATTTTGAACCAAAACTCTGGATACAAAAGTTGTTCAGAATTGGCTTCCGGAGGCCCTCACGTTTTTTTTCTTCCCTCACAATTTTCCGGTTTTTATTTTTCAATCTAAAAACCAAAAGAGGAAAATTTTAAAAAAAGCTCTCGTGAGGGGCTCCGGAATCCACTTCTGAACAGCTTTTGTATTCAGAGTTTTGGTTCAAAATGCTTGACTAGAGCGAAACTAGCCGTAAGGCACGATGAAAAAGCTTCCCTGAGCCAAAAAACCAGCGATACTTTCAAGTATTGAATTTTTTTTTCAAGCCTTCCCGGTTTATCGAGGATACTTCGAAGTATATGTCCTGAAGTTGATTTAGCTTACTCTACTAGCTTAAAGTCTCATTTGTAAAATAACGACTCAACAAAAAGATTCAAGCGATACCTCATCTGATAGAGAATTTTATGGGCTACCAGGTGGACTGCCTTAAAAATTGCAGAATATATTTTTAGCTGCTCGGTACGTACCCTTTACTGGGAAAAGTGAGACTTTTACCCCTAATTGGCAATTTTCCGCATCAGAACTCAACTTTTATACAATGAAAATATCATATTTGGAATCAGCGTCAAAAATTGAGTAGAATGATACATATCTCAAAAGTTGTCCTTCAAAAAATGAAAATCTCAGTAATTAATTATTCGGCGTGACAATTCAGAAAAAATAAAAATGATTGAATAGGATAAAAAAAGTATATCATTCGACTCGATTTCCGACGCTGATTCCAAATATGATATTTTCATTGTATAAAAGTTGAGTTCTGATGCGGAAAATTGCCAATTAGGGGTAAAAGTCTCACTTTTCCCAGTAAAGGGTACGTACCGAGCAGCTAAAAATATATTCTGCAATTTTTAAGGCAGTCCACCTGGTAGCCCATAAAATTCTCTATCAGATGAGGTATCGCTTGATCTTTTTGTTGAGTCGTTATTTTACAAATGAGACTTGAAGCTAGTAGAGTAAGCTAAATCAACGTTAATTAGTACTAATTAGTCAATAACAGGAAGGAAAGAAGAAAACTTTTTACATATTTTCTGGTAGTAAATATTCTCCGTCCATTTCTCTATCGATCTAGGCAAGAACCCAAATTTTATGATGAATGGAGAATGAACAGGAAATTTTGTAATAATAGCCCCGTGCTCAAAAATTTAGCAACATTTTTTTAAGTATTTAATTTTTTTTTCAGGTAAATAATGTAAGTAAACTGAAAAACTTCAGGACATACACCTCGAAGTACCCTGTATAAACTGTGAATGCTAGAGGAAAAAATGGATGAAGTAGAACACATTCTTTGAAATTAAGCAAGCTTCTTTTAGTCATATTGAAGTAAATATCGAAATATGTATTCATATTCCATTATGTGTGTCATTCTCTCATCTATCTTCTTCTTATCCATTCTCAATATTCGTTCGACATCGTCATGGTCGATCCCCGATAATGATACATTTATTATCGATAAAAAAACAAAATTAATCTTGCAAAAAATCGGCAATATATTGCCATTAACAGAAACAACTGGAATTGCTGTTACAATCCCAATCTTCCACTTTGGATGTTTTTTACTTCCTCCAAAACTGTATTCGCGATTAAACATATGTACAGAAAATAAGAACCAAAGCATTAAACAAAATTTATTACGCACGGTAGAACAACAAGCAAGTAAAATTCTTACGTCGGCTACTACCAATTCATCGAAAAAATCTTTCAATCAGCGATTTATGCAGGCATGGGATGACATCGATGCAAGCAATGTTTTCTCAAGAGAAAGGAGAGCTACAGGAGCACTTAGCCTTGGTACAAGTGTAGTAGCACTGGGTACATCAGCATACAATACTACTGAAATATTAAGTGTGAAGGACACTGAACAACAAATTCTAGATTATATTCTATCAGATGATAAAATACTTCAATCAACTGTAGCAAATATCGTTTCGCTAACTGATACTCAAGTAGCCGTGGTTGACAATATTACAGGATCGTTTAGTCTATTTGTATAATGGCTTCAAAACATTGCAAAAAGTGATAAACACTGTCGTACAACAGTCGATACCAATACTCGAAAATGAATTACATTATGATAAAATTCATCGCTCATCGGATAATCTATTAAAAGCACAAAAAAATTTTGATTATTTGTCTCGGAATGAACTTCATCAAGTTATCGATCGAATATTTAAGCAGTCAGAAAAAATTCTTTCATTATTCGACATACCATTGATGATTCTTATCAACCGTTTAGTAGCATTACAATCATTTCATTTTGCTTTTAACAATGACGATAATACGAATGGCAACAGTCATGAATCACAAAATGAAGCTATACCAGCAATATACCAATTAGGAAACTTGATCATCTCGAATGTTGTCTTTATTCCTCGAGTACGACCATCCATACCTGTCTATCAAGTCTTTAATACACCATTCTTCTCATCGAATGCCTCTTATCAAGTGTATAATCTACCACGCTATATCGCTATTGACTATAAAAATAATCAATCATTAGCCTGGTATTCAGGTGATAATAACATCAACACATGTCACTTCGGTAAAATTACCTTTTGTCATGTTCTACCACCAGTTGCTTATCAAAGAATTGAGCATGGATGTTTAAATAAAATGTTTATTGAGAATCAAAGTAGTCTGTGCTCAT